TGAAGGAGAAATCTGGCCTGGTGCCCCAGGTGCGGGGCCCAGGGAAGTCTGGGAGAGGCGCAGATTTGCATGCAGGGGCGATGGGCAGGGTGCATCCGGGAGAAGACCCTGCAGGAGGAAAGGGCTGCAGGTGGCAAATGTCAGACCACAGTCAAGGAGAGGAAGCCCAGGCCAGGACTCCAGAGAGGAGACCCTCTCGTTCCTATCCACATTGGGAGCCACTCACACTCGTGAGACTTTCCATGGTGGCGTATTCCTTCTAGTAGTCCTGGCCAGGAGATTGTGTGGAGATGGCAGATCACAGTGGACACAGGCAGCCCCTTTTCCCCAACCCCCAGGACCTGGGTCCTGAAGCAGGTCCAGCTCAGCTCTGAACACAGGAAGGACCCAGACCCTTTTGTGGCTGTCCCAGGTGCTGAATGCCATCCCCATCCTACTGCGCATCCCTGGGTTGGCGCAGAAGTTCTTACCTCTAACGAAAGACTTATTGCACCTGCTGGATAACCTGTTGAGAGAGCATAACATGACCTGGGATCCAACCCAGCCACCCCGAGACCTAACTGACGCCTTCCTGGCCGAGATTGAGAAGGTGAGAGTCGGCTACCTGAAAAGGGTTAGGGACAGTGTGTTGGGAATTAACTGAGGTGGGGGCAGGTGAAGTAGGAGCTGGGCATCTCAAGGGATCAGTACCTGGGTGGGTGGGTGTAGGATGGGGGTCATGTGCCATTTCCTCTCTCCACCCCCTGAGCCCACCCTCTCTGCCCGGCCCAGGCCAAGGGGAACCCCGAGAGCAGCTTCAATGATGCGAACCTGCGCATGGTTATTTCTGACCTGTTCGCGGCTGGGATGGTGACCACTGCGACCACACTGTCCTGGGCCCTGCTTCTGATGATCCTGCACCCGGATGTGCAGCGTGAGCCCAGCTGGGCCTGCATGGGAGAATGAGGGAGGGCAAGGAACCTCGGGGTCTCCAACTTGAGTTCATGGAGGCCTTGGAACTTGGCAGGACCATAGAAGTGTGAGGCCCGCCTCACCTGGTCAAAGCCCTTAAGGGATGGGTGGAGAGGTCAGGCCACATCCCCAGGACCAACCCGCTGTGGGCATGCGTGTCTGTGCAGGCCGTGTCCAGCAGGAGATCGATGAGGTGATAGGGCAGGGCCGGCGCCCAGAGATGGCGGACCAGGCCCGCATGCCCTTCACCAATGCCGTGGTTCATGAGGTGCAGCGCTTTGCGGACATTGCTCCAATGACTTTACCCCACATGGTCTCCTGTGATGTCGAGCTGAAGGGCTACCTCATCCCCAAGGTAGGTGTGGAGCCCGCCCTCCCCAACATGGCGGCTCCCAGGTGAGGTCATCTGACTCTGGGCTCAGGGGTGCTGCCAGGACCAGGCTGGCTGTGTGCGATGCTGAACACAGACATCGCCTCCCTGTCTCCTGAGGGAAAATCCTCCGTAGGGAGGCTGAAGGTAGAGGTTGTGGTGACTTTGTGGTCAACCTGGGAGATATGGTGACAGTATGTCTCAAAATTAATCGATTATTTAAAAGACAAAGTAAAACAGTGAAGAAG